TTTATGCAAGGCGATGTGGCATGCAAAGAAGTTGCAGAACAGAGTACGCTATCAGATTGCCGCCATTCGTATCTCAAGGGAGGATGTCTCACTCGAAGAGGAAAGGCAATACTGGGCAAACCTCATGTATTACAGCACAGATGCACCGTCATTTCTGAAGCATGAACGTTGGATCGTTCCTTGTGCAATTCGAGCTGTTGCCTCTCACAATTCTGGAAGAGAGACTGTTCTTGAAGAGGATGTGTCAATATATCCTGTGTGGACTTCACATCTCATTCCAGAGAATGTGGCAATGCAGCTTGGAGGAAGCTTTCACATGACATCGCTTTCCAATATTGAGTCAATCATGAAACTAGGAATTGTCCCTGGTGGAACGGAGGGATATAGAGGTAGTGTTTTCTTCAACCACTTTGCGCCGTGGGATGATCGATCATCAAAGATTCTGAGATCAAGATGGCCAAGAGTGGGAATGCCCGTTTGCCTTTATGTTCCAATCATGACTTTGAGGAAGCTTGGGGGAAGAATTTCGGAGAATTCCTACACTGTTGTTTTTAGAGAAGTTCCATGGAGATGTGTACGAGGTGCTTGGTATTGGGACGACTACGTTCAGGCATGGAGGAGACTCCTGCTGGGAAGCACTGGAGAGCAAGTTGTTCTAGCGGCACGTCATGGACTTTGGGTTGCTCAGAAGCATACCATCCTCGAGAGAGCCGACGAAGTCACGAAGTCAGCCTCGGCGACAGATGACAACGTCCAAAAGCTCGTATCCCTTATCGATGAAGTACAATTCGATGACAATGGAGAGCTGATCGAGGATTCCATCAGTGAGGAAACTTGGGACGAAATCATCTCCAGAACATGTGAAGGGTATCGCAACGTGGATGGCAATATTTTGTGTCCATCATGTATGCATTTGACTTCTTCATCTTTGTCCGTGTGTCTATCTTGTCAAGGCAGGCTACTCTCGTGTGGTATTCGCAACACTGTCATTTCCGATTCACCCGTTGATCTTGTGAGCGACGATGAAGAGGAAAAGAAGGAAGAGAAGGAGCCTGAAGATGATGATCAAGATATCTTGGACCAGGCCACTATGGACGAGATCAGAAAGGCTTGGGAAGAAGACATCGCTCAAACTGAAGCAGCTGACGACGACGAGGACATGGACAATCTAGATCCTTCCAAACCGTCTGATGGTGCAGAAAACTTCAAGAGTGACAATGTCGAGACCCCATCTTTCAATGAGGACGAGATCGACTACGATCGTGATTCTGATCTAGAAGATGAAGACGAACGAAACGTGATCATCGAGATCCAGAGGAGCACACAACAATATGAGGGGAAGAAATGTCAAGATGGTGAACCCGAGGATGAAGACGTCACCGACGACTTACATCCGGAGGCGAATCGACCGACAGATCGTGATGAACCGGGATACTATGCACAGCATGGAGCGACCGAGTTCAATCCCGAAGAAGGAAGAGACAACGAAGATCTCCCCATCTATTGTCGAGTACCGGAACCTCGAATCTATGCGCATCAAGAGAGAGCCTACTGTCAGGACGTCTCCGTGAATGCATCGGGTTTGATGGATAGGTATGTGGTCAAATGTGTGCTGAACATGATCTCCCTGATGTACAAGAGCTACTATTGCACCAGCCTTACCGACTTCAAAGCAAATTGGAAAAGGAAGCGACTGGATGTGATAAGCAAGTTCGGTACAGAGGATTTCACTGAAATCGATGACGATGGGAGACCATTGGATCCAACAGATGACAAGATGAGAATCTTTGCCAACGAAAACAAGATTACGATTGAGGAGGCCTGGCACCGATTCAGAGGAGAGCAATTCATTTGCAAGGTGGCACTCGTGATCCTATCATTTGGTCATACTCCGTACTCCTTCAAGAAGGAATATGGCAACTTCGAATACTCCACCAACTTGACTGACGTCCAGCTTGAGGAGTTGAAAGCGAAGAAAGCCAGCGCAATGACTGAATTGGTACAGAAGTGCATCCATGCGATTTATGGTTGTCGGACATATTCTTACTTTAGAACCGACGTTACATCACCCAACCACAAGGTGATCGATCCTCTGGACATCATGTACTCGAGAATGAAGAGCAAGTGGGAGAAGTCTATTCTGTTGATCATTGATCAACATGAGATCAGGTTGCCCCCACAAGCTCAGGAAGTCATAGAGTCAATGGCCAGAAACCCCAACGTTGGACATACAGAGAGATGGATGAGCGTGGTAGAACATAAGCATGTTCAAGCTCTTACCAATCGCCTAGGCTTTGGAGATAGGGCCAAGGAGATTCAGGGCAAGAAGAAGCAGGCAGCCAAGGCAACAGCTAAGTCAACATCAACGACTAAGTCTGAAGCGAAAGCAGCATCTTCGTCAAGAGCTGAGGCAAAGCCAGCATCTACACCCAGAACCGAGGCCAAGCCGTCGTCAGCACCAAGTGAGGAGCCAAAACCTTCAACAGCACCTAAGAGTTTCGGGCCCTCATCAGCAGAGGAGAATAAGGCGAAGGCTGCTCCAAAAGCCAGACCACATGATAAATCACCATCCAGTGCTACCGATGTGTTTGAGCAAGCTTTGCAGGAAGATCTTGCCGCCAACGCACATGCAGCAGAAGGTACAACTTCTTCATCATCCCGAGGACATTCCAAAGGAGGAGGCCAATCTGGAACATCTTGGAGGCCGGCGCTAACGCAAGAACGCCGCGAAGTACCTCAACCTTCTGAAAAGGGGAAGGGAAAGAGCAAGTCCAAGGGAAAGTCCAAGAAGGGAGAAGATGATCGGTGGGATGCTCAGGGCAGCTGGGATCATCGTGGATGGAGAGGTTATCGCCAGTGGTGATTTCTTTGAACGACTATGAGGATACCATGCAAACCAGGGAGGAAGTCATTCACCGGATGTCTATCTGATCTGAAACGCTGTAAGTGTATCATTGCAAATCATCGGATTGACGATTTGATACCATGAGCATAATGGAAGGTAGACAGTCACCGACTGTCTCTCCGACTTGCCGTTCTGTAAGTGTATCCAAACCAAAACCTACATCTTTTGAGAAGTGTGAAGTCAGTTGCCGATGTGACATCTACGTGGAAGTCACCAGTTCGGATCTACATCAAAGCGATGCTCTTTTGAGTGGATACTGAGCGAGGCCTCGTGACTGTCTCACTTGTTCAATTCGATTTTTCATAGGTTCTGAGCCATAGTTGCACACTTTATATGTAAAAGTCCGCTTTAGTCCAGCATGTTTCGTAGTATGAGCCTCATATGAGTCTCGCGGCAAATCACACAATTTCTTTTGTAGCACTTACATCCCTAAATTTTCGTGTGTGATCGGAACATATTGTTGCCGTTCACATGGGGGGTGCGAATGGAAGTGCAGCGACACGTACAGTGCAACTTGTACATATATATGTACCATATGTACTTTGGCTCAAGGATCAAGCGACTAGAAAAGGTGCGGTTTCCGTTCCGACGCTACGCCGCTTATGGACCGTCAGTGATAGCTTCAAACTTCGCTGATTAAGATCCACTCGCAACTAACATCTTGTTGTCAAACCAACCAGCCAACCTCGTGTTCTTGGATTTTACCCTTCGCAAACCTGGTCACGAAGGAAAAGGGGACGACCTCAGAACCAAAACGCAATGCGCACACAACTTGGAATTTGGCAACATCATGAAACTGCAAACCACTTGATTGTGACATCTTGCACATACCAGGCCACTCTTTTGTCCTTGGAACTTAGTCCAGCCCTTTTACGAAGTATGGCCCTCCTCAATGGAATGTAGTCCTTGATGTTCAAGATCTCGGCATAGAATTCCTTGGCGTTTGCTAAGTCTTAGATTACAAACAGGTCGATCCACAAAGATTGATTTTGCTCATATTCAACACTCAGTGGGTCTTCCAACACCACCCTTACCACCTGAACTCCCACCACTTGCAAATGAAATTCCTTCAGGAGATGGATGCGGTCTTGACTGGTTGCCATGGGATCGCGTGAAAAAGCTGCTCTGGGCACTGGGCAAGGTGGACCTGTGACCCCTGCAACTAATGCGCATGCCAATGTCATGAGCATTGAATGTTGTCATTTCAAGGACATCCTTGAACCCCCTAAGCAACAAGCAAGCCAGGCAAACGAGCATTCACAACCCAAGCACATGCACGTGTGCCTGCACAGAGCATTCCAACTGAAAACAAAAATGGCAGGCACCTGGATGGATGGTTGGCAGTGGTTCCCGAATGTTCTCATCAATTGCCAGTCCTCAACTGGTCATGCAAAGAACAGGGACATGAACATCGGAAAGCATAGAAGATCATTGCGTAAACGCGAACTGACTAAGTTGTGCACTTCGCTTCAAAGCTTTTTTGATTCGCATGCTTCCTCAAAAGCACCTAGGGTCATTCCCCAGCTGACAAAAACATTGGCTGATGATGTAAGCTGTGCATTTTTCCATGATTAGCATTGGCCCAGTAGGTTCTTGCAGCCACAGGCACCATCCAGCTGATGTGCTGGAGCTCAACCATGCTCATGGCCACCAAGGGAAATCAACGAGTTCCAGAACATCACATTGCTTGTGATGAGAACCTAATGGACTATGGGTGGATTATAGTTCCTGGATGGAAGATTTGGATACAGGATTGACAGATTTCAAGATATTTCACTTATGTCTCAATGAAAACAACTGAGCCAAATGATGCCACAACCCCTCAAGTGGTCGTTGGCTACCAAGAATGGTCCTTCCGCTAAGACCATTTAAACAATGGTCCTGGACTCCCAGGGCAACTATATACCTAGAGCCGAAAGCCTGACCTCTGTTTTGATAGGAAGAGCTTGACCATATTTTGCATAGTTGATCCTCCAAGCTCCAGGGGTCACTCAGGCTCCAGGTATACTTATACTTATTTGACAGACCCAAGGCACGGTCTTCGATCACCCGGGTGGAACCGTTCTCCGTGCCGACCGGTGCCGGACCGTTCCAGGCCCGGTCGGAGCGGAAGAAGAAGAAGCGCGCGCAGCAGGAGTTGCAGGACCGGTGACGTGACCGGGGTCCTTCTCTTTGAGGAAAAAGCAGCTACATCTTCGATGAATTGGATCGAAGAATCGATCGAATTGGGGGGTCACTTGATGACATATGGAATCATATGGATGTTTTGCTGAAAGGAAGAAAGATCGTTCTGATCCAATCCTTTTTGGGATCCTCAAAACATCACCGACGACGCCTCCGATTACGACGGTACCGATTCCGACGACCGTCCCACGACCAACCCACCCGACAAAACGGTCCGCTCGACTGGACCGAGACACATGTGACGTCTGACACCTCCGATTTTAAGAAGCTGGTCTTGTGGATCATGGTGATGTTCTATGTTCCCTATATGGGTAAAATTTTGTTTTGGTGAATATAGTTCTTCATTTTGTTTCCCGGTTCCGTAAGCAAATCCAAGATCATGTTAAGGTGTTGTGTGTTAAATCAAATCCCTGTTAGTTATATGTAAAAACATATGTTTTACATGTAAGCAAAATGCATTCTGAATCTTTGACTTGCAGGCACAGCTGGGGCACTTGCACCTGGCCAAGAAGAAGAAACTCCAGCAGGCGGCATCGGCCGGAGTCACCTTACTCCAAGCGAGCAGGCTGAGTGGCCCAAGGTATCCATTCACTCGGTGTGTGTGTGTGTGTGTGTGTGTGTGCGTGTGCGTGCATGGTTTGTTGTGTCAACCGCTAGTTTTGTTTAATACTTCTTTTACCCATGCGTTCATCACGGCAAGTAGATGTATATAAGTAGAGTAAGCCGTGCTGCATGCTGTTGTTTGCCTGTTGTTTACCACCAGATACATGAAACCTTTGCATGATACCTCTTCCTTGGCAGGGTGTTCTACCCAAACACAGCGCCGCAGCGGATTGTACCATATGTTTATTCTGATTGTTTGAATGTTTACTTATTTCAAGGCTTACGCCTTTCCAGCGGGCCGGGCAGGCAAGCAGGGAAGGTGCAGGTGATATCGGTTGCCCTCGCTGGTCCTCCGTTTCGTTTGCATCCTCTTCTCTTTCGGGTAAGAGCGAGCTGGCCACCTGGGGCACGGGAAAGGGGTATCCCGAGCGGTCCCTCCGGACGTTGTTGTTGTTGTTGTGGTGGTTGCTGCTGCTGTTGTTGTTGTTGTCGTTGTACTGGCGGTGGAGGTTCTCTGGGTGGTGGGGTGGTTTTCGTCTTGGCAGCGAACATCTATGGCATCTTCCCGGTGGCATGCTTGCCCGAATCTCCGGTGGAGCTAGAAAAGCACCGGCACTTTTTGCGGCAGAGGAACTTTTATGTTGCGGACAATACTCCCGATGCCGCGTTCTACAAAGTAAGGTCGTGGCGGTTTTAAGGTATTGGCTTCTATTAATCATGGTTCGGCCGTTGAATTGTGAGGTTTGGCACATGTCTTGGATTTCGATACCATCATGTGGAGACGCCGTGAAAACGAGAATGTCTCATGTACAAGTTCTTTGTTTTTCCTCTTCATCTTGTTCTTCCGTTTTGTCTTTGTTTGTCCTTTCTCTTTATCTTTCTCTTCCTTTTTCTCATCTTTTGTCTCTGTTTCTTTTCCTTCGGCTTTCTCTTCCTCTTTCTCTCTCTCTTTTCCTTGTACCCTATGTGACTATGTGTCTTTCTCTTCCACTGTCTCTTCCTCTTTCTCTATCGCTTCCTGTTACCCTCTCTTTTCTCTTGCTCTTTCTCTTTCTTTAGAAGAGAAAGAGACGGAGAGGGTGGATCCATCGTGAAGTCCTCTTTCTCTTGCTCTGTCTCTGGCTCTTCCTCTTTCCCTTTCTCTTTATCTTTCTCTTGATCTTTCTCTGGCTCCTCCTCTTTCTCTGTCTCTTCCTCTTTCGCTTTCTCTTCAATTTGTTATATATCTTTTTCCTTTCTCTTTCTCTGGCTCTTTCTCTTTATTTGTTTCCGCTTTATCTGTCTCTTTCTATTCACACTTCTATTCACTTTTGTACCATTATCTGTCTCTTCCTCTTCCATGTTCTCTACCTCGTTATCTTTTCTCTTGCGCTTTCTTTCCCTTTTTTCTCGTCCTCTTTCTCTGCCTCTGTCTCTTTCTCTTCCGCTGTCTCTTCCTCTTTCTTTCTCTTTTCCTTGTACCCTAAGTCTCTTTTTCTTCCTCTTCCTATCGCTTCGTTGTCTCTTTTTCTTCCTCTTCCTATCGCTTCGTTGTTTTTTTGTCTCTCTCTCTCTCTCTTTCTTTCGAAGAGAAAGAGACTGAGAGCAAGCAGAAGCACAACAATTGCCAATAATGCAAGGCTACTCGCGCAGCATAGCTTGCACCACGGGCAATTGAACACGAACTCACATCCATCACCATATCAATTTTGAAAATATATGTTGTTGATCCATGTTCTAGAATTTCTTGAAAATTTGACATAAACGCCTTTGTCGACGCTCTCCCCAGTGACCTGCGAGGTTCCAGGTGCCTCTGATAGAGACCTTTGTTCCCTTTTTGTAATGTCATATAATATGCATCCTTTGGAAAGAGAAAAGCAACCTAAAGATGGTCATACAAGATGGCTGCGTGCATAGATCACCTCTTTTGTCAGGAAGCCCCACTTCCGCATCTCCTGCGTCGCGGACAAGCTTCTTTCAGTTCCTCTCATTGGCTTCCTTCCCCACTATGGGTGCTCTCATCTTGGCCCTGCACGAGCACTTCTTCCCCCCACACTGTGAAAACTTGTGCTCCGACCAACGCAGCTGCTCGCCGTGGCGTAGACTTTTTCAAAGATCGATCACCAGGTTCTTCCTCATATTTCGTCTTGGGCCGTGTGGCCCGTATAGGTCCACATGGATCTGTGGATGCCTGGGAAGCAGCCATTGAAGAATGTACCTTTGGTTGTGGGGAACGGGTTGCTGTGGCCCGTCAAACGACTTCCTCTCCATCAGACAGATCGAGTGACTCTGCAATTTCCAGAGTTCTTGACACTGAACTGAAATAGTGTTCTTTTTGTTTGGTTTCCATGTTGCCATGATGGTGTTGGTCTCGCCCGGTTTGGCATGCAGCTACACTAATCTCCGAGGCGGGAACGAACCCGGGGACCAAAGCCTGGGGCAACGCTCTTCCCGAGATAAAGACCTTGACGGTCGCAGAAGAGAAGAATTTGGACTGTGTGTTCTTTTTTTTGCTCTAGGTCTTTTTCCTATGCGGAGATATGGACAGGGACCGGTGCTTTTTTCTATGCTCTAGGTGCCTTTTCCGACACTGCTGGTGTTTTCTCGTAGGCTCGTAGTGCTTTCTCTTATGCTGAGAGTTCTTCCTTTTATGCGCATGGTTGCTTTCCTTATGCAGACGGTTCCTTTTGTATGCTGGGAGCTGGGATACACTGGGGGACAGGTATGTGAGATTAGCGTGTGCGATGGCCCCTTACTGCACCAAGTGCGAGGGGCGGTCGAGGGGCGGTGAGCGAGAGGAGGAAGCGTCCTTTCTTTTGTGTCGCAGCAGTGTGCAATGGGTGCTTGCTAGGGCCAGAAGACTCCTGGCATGATGTGGGTTGTCCAAGTGTCGTGCAAGTCGTTGTGCGTCCCGAAAGCAAAGAATATTCCCCAGGTTTCTTTGCAGCAATCCGGGCAGGAAATGACACATGGCTCCGCGCTCAGCTGGAGCAAGGGCAGTCGCCTGCAACTGTATGGGAAGATGGAGAGCGGAGCGCTTTGGTGTATGCGTTGCTTGGGGAAGTCCGAAACAATCGCACGGACTTTGATCGAAGGCGGTGCCTCTCTCACAACGTGTTTTCAAGGTCATCCGGTGCTGCATGATTGTTTGATTGCAGGATGGGTAGAAGTGGCAGAAAATATGGTCGCAAAGGGGGCATGCTTGTTTGTGTTAGATCACAGAGGAAAGAGCAGCTTGCACCAGGCCGCAGGGTTCAAGAAACCGCAATGTGTTGAGTGGCTGCTTCAAAACGGGCTGGGCCCTCTTTTGGAAGTTTTCTCCGGGGATGCACCGCTCTCCCTTGCCAAAGAGCAGCGCTTGTACCAGGGTGTTGCTGGAGAATTGCTGGAGGAAGTATAGCATGGGCACACATTTTTGCGCGCTGCGGGGAAGAACTTCAAGAATGTTTGGGTGACCGCGAGATGCGCAGAATCTTCACAGTGAATCGCTGCCTTTTTTCCACTAGATGAAGATGTCACTGGAGGCACGTCGCCAAATATGTCTGCAAAAGGGGTGGAAAGACTCATGGAGAGACAACTGGTGCGTCGTGGGTTGCACGTTGTGATGGAGACAGTGTGGAGACAGACCTTCTGGTACATGCTGTCGGTGGCCGACATACCTAGCCAAACAATGTGTTTCGTAGGCCTCCAGAGACGCAATTTCCAGGCGCATATTTGGTGCACTTTCGCGGTTTTTTTAAACGCAGTCAAAGGATTGTCGCATGCAGCCGTGAATATGTGCGCCACTTTGCCCTCCAGCGCATCAATCAGCTTCAGGACGTGAGGTGGAGAAACCTGTCCAATGTGGCCCTGAACATGCTCAACGAGAAGTTTGCGGCCGCGCGTTGCTTGGTTGCCAGAAAAGAGTTATCGGATGATGCAACTGCAGAGTGCGGATGTGGAAGGAGGGTCGAGCAACCTGCAGACCAGGCCACGGGAGTCGGCTCATGCAAGTGGATGGTCTCAGTGTCATCGCTATTCGGTTGGAGGCTTTTTGTCCTTTTCTTTTGTTTCCTGTAGTTTTTTCAATGATAAGCGGGTGTAACGTAACAATGTAGGACTTCCCTGCTTCCATGAACCCATGTGGTTTTGGCGCCACGCATAAGGGGAGAAACTGCGTGCATACAAAACGAGATGGGCTGCATATAAAAAACGGCCGCATTGGAAAAAGAACCTGCCGCATAAAAAGCACCCCCCATCCTGCAGCATATAGAAAAAACTGTAAGCATAAAGAAAAAACTAATTATTCCCGAAGAATTTAGACAAATTTCATTGAAGTGTTTGTCAATGTGACGGCTGAGTAACATCGCCCACAGCTCACCGGAGTCCCTCAACAGGAACACGCCGGCCCCGCTCCGCTCTCGCTCACCGTCATCGGCCCGGGGTGGGCAGACTTCGGACAATCTTCTGGACCCTTGTCTCCACAGTGACAGAACGAACTGAAGCAAACCTGAGCTGGTCACCTACAAGACATATCTGAAACCCCAGCGCAGCGTGCCAGGTTGGTAAACCACTGTTGTTGAGGGCACATGCCAGGTTTTTTCAACCTGGCAAGATTATCAACAGGTGTGCAAATATTGGGTTTAAGATGGTTTAGGTGTCAACCATCTGCTGCATATATCAAACTAGTCACTGACTCCAAAAACCCTTTCCACTGTATAAAACTGAGGAAGGCTCAGGAAAGGCCAATTTCTTTGGATTCCCAATCCACTGCCAGCCCGGAAAGAACGATTTTTGTTTTGTTCCAACCTTATGTTTGATGTTTCCTTTTGACCTTTGTCATACCTTGTACTCGGCACCAATGAGGACACATTGCGTGCAACAGGTGTGCACGGGTTCGTTGCCTTTACAAACCGTTTGCGGTTCAGTTTGCTATGCCACCATTGGCAATTGGCAGGGTTGGTGCACATGCCCCCGTGCAAATCAAAAGCAAAGTCTTTGCAAACCGTTTGTTTGTTTACATAATTTGTTGCTGTTTGTTCCACCTGCTATTCCGTTCCACCCAATATGCAGGAATTGAAATGGACCTCTACAGCAACATGTTTGGCGATGTGTTTCGTCGCACCATTCAGGCTGGCATCGCCACAGATAAGTGGACGCCCCAGCGGTGTTCGAACGGCCCACGTCCTGGGCGTTTGCGGGCCGCAGGCTTCGCAAGATTGTTCAGAGTGGGCAATGTTGAGTCCTGGGTGTGTGATGCAGAGTTCCTGAAGAAACCTACACCATCCCTCCGCTCGCAAAAAGAGACACATCCTCGCACCCTCTCTAGATGGAGGGTTGTGAGGTTGAAGTTTTGTTTGTTCGTTTTTGAACATACATACATCTACCCCACTTTCAATTGACCCATCCATGTAGGTAACTACAAACCAGTCCATGGAGGTTGCCGACGGATGCCAAGGAGCACTGGTTTCGCGAAGAGTTTGACTGGTTCAGCGCTCAAGGAGGAGATGAGTGAATGGAGCCGGAAATGAGAGGTCCTTTGTTTTGAATTTCAGGTGTCCCTATTGTATGCCCCCCTCAAAATTTTTGGCTCAAATCCCCAGTCCTTGTATGAGCCACCACTTGGGATTTGAGCCAAGAACCCTGACAGGGATGCAAGTGGGTTAGGTTCCCAAACGACCGCATGCTACCATACGCAAGTGTGAAAAAGACCATGGTGGGTAGTGGGTCTCATGGATGAAGCCTGGAAACCCATCAGATTCGTGGAGAAGGGCTCACTGGTCTGGTGATCTCAACTCTTGAACTCATGGAATAGGTCGGTTGCAGTACGGGCTTGGGAGGTCGTTTGCTTGATCCATCCCCTTGGGCCCGTGGGGAGTTTTGGGCTTGGACCATAGACTTCCTGGAGTCATCATGAAAGAAGAAGGAAAGGCCCCTTTCCACTTCCATGATGATTCCAGCAAGTGTACTTGTGCTAGTTTTTTTTCGATCACATCGAGGCTGGACAGATGTGCAGCCACATACACCCGGTGCCACGCTGGGCGTGGTGAGGAAAAGAGGCTTTCTCAAACTGGAAGGCACCGTGCTTCAGGTGGCTCCCAAGCTGTTCCGGCAGCGTTTCACTTGGCTCAAAAACTGCTTCACCTCAACGTCTTTTGTTTTTCTTTGACGGCCAAACGACTGCAGATAGTGATTGCAGATGATTGTTTTCGATAGCAGGCTTTTCTTTTGTCATTTGCTTGGATTTGCTTGGATTTGGTGCCCTCGTTCAAACGCCTTTCTTTGAGGATGAACGGTCCTTGACATACATTTGCTGAAACCTGATGCAGCATGGAGCGCTGTTTGTATTTAAGACGCCACACCACCACCACGTGTCTGAACATCCCAAACCAAACCAGAGAATTTTTTCAGAGCATCATCCTGCTCTTTTGTTCGTCAATCAGCACGGTGGAAGATCAAGCAAGAATGGTCCAAGGTTCTGGGGGATCGTTTCAGCGTTTTGTGTTCGGGAATATGTTTCAACCCCATCCGCGTTTACTTGTCAACATCGTTCTGTTGGCGTGGCGCTTCAGCAGCACTTGCAGAGGAGAACCTTCCGCCGGGCTAGCACAGATGGACCCACGTGTGGCGAATGGACCGCGTGTGGGCCGGGCTGGCCTTCTGGACAAAGGTTTGGTTGACAACAACCAATCCATATCACAGATAAACATTTGATGTAGCATCAATTGACAAATCGAACATCTGTCGCTAATATAGATAGCAAGTAGATCAATGGCAACACATCGATTGTAGATAGTTATCTCCACCTTGAAGATGTATTGGACATAACCTTTTTAATTGTTAAACACAACGATGCATGACAGCAAGGGGCTGGTACTGTGAAGTGATCACCCTGTGCGCAGCGAAGCCAGTCTGAGGACAAATACATGGTCTTTGTGTGCTTCTTATGGGGTTCAGCTTTTTCAATGTAGTAGCGTAGGGTAGTGGAGCTTCTTCTGGTCACGCAACGCGTCCGATCACATTGAGGAAGCTGGTTGGTACCTGGTACCTCCTAGGTTGTTCTTGGGACTTCACTTATCCACATGGTTTAAAGGCTCACCGCCATGGTGTTGAAGATCTTTTTTGCTCAGTGTTTGCAAAGCATTTGTTTGCCAGGGGCCTATGGAGAACGAAGATGCTCCTTCACCCAAAACAAACTATTACTTCAGCTGTGAAGACGTGACTTTCCAGTTCTTTCCTTGGTGTTGAGGATGCACTTCGTCCAAGCCAGTACGAGTACCAGCATGACTAATAATGATTCACAGTTCTAAGTCCAAGCATCATAGGTTGAGACATTTTCAGGCCATGGCGCACAACATGGTCCAGTTTGGGACCTATTCTAAGGTGGCCTATCCGAGCGTGGTTCTTTGGGGGAATTGTGCGCCCGGTTGAACAATGCCTTCTGATATGGACTGGATCCAGAAGACCCGAAAGTTCCACACGAAGATCCGCGGGTCAGATCCGCGAGTCAGATCCCCTGAAGACCCTTCTACTCCGCGGGTCAGATCCGCTGGTCAGTCGAGTGAGGATCGGTTCCCTTGGGGAAATCCCTGCGATCCACCTGACCGTTGGTGGTTCCCAAGGCCCATCAAGCGCATCTTCTGGTTGGGCTCGAGGCGCGTGGGCGACCGACTATGAACGGGGCCAGAGCGTGGGTGGAACCCACCGATGCACGGGAGTGACCGCGTTGTTGAGCTAAGAACTCTTTGTGAATTGAATAGAATGACAAACTACTGTAATGCAAACTATATACAATATAGCACCAGCTCCTTTGACACAAGCAAGAACAACATAGAACAACTAGAACGGGATCATGAAGTCCCTAGAAAAAAAAGTAAAATAAACAAACAAGCCACAACCCTCACTAAATCACAACTGCAAACAGTTGCAAAGAAACCTTCAGCTCGGTTGTCAGACCTTCTATTCATTGGTCGATCCCCCGGAGCCATGACCGGACCCAGCACCAGAAGTCCCACAACCAATGATGTCCTGGGGATGTTTGAGGTCCTATAGTGGTCCTGGGAGTAGAAGAGCTACCACCTCACCATCTCTTTGGCAGATGCCTTCATCTCATGACGTACCTGGTCTGGTTGAGCCCAAAAACCTAGCTCGGTTGGTTGGTCTCACCGGGGTCGGTGGCAGGCCAGAGGGCGAGCCGGATGAGGCGCTGAAGATGACAAGAAAGTCCTTGGGGATCAAGGCACACCACGAAGGGAAGGACGTGGGTGGCAGGCATGCAGCGTGCACCAGATGTTGCTTGTTCCGGAAGCGGAGGAAAAACATATCTAGCGATTCGGATTATATGCCAGGGCATTTGCCCAGTTCTGCAAAATAGACATCACCCTAAGCACAGCACTCACTGGCAGGTCTCAAGTATAGTCTTGTGACAATGGCTTATCATTTATCCCAGATGTATACCTCTGCGGTTTGTCAACCTTGGTTGGAACCTGTCAAACATGGAGCTTTTCGAGCTCTTGTAGGCCCACTAAACAGGGACGTCAAAAAAATAGAAACAGTTTCCACTTTCAAGACTTCTTCATTTTGTTGGTTCTTAGAATACATCCAACTTCATGAAGTTGGATTGCTAGGGCCTCTTCAGTAAACATACATCAACGTCACGGTTTGCAGTTGGGAAGGAGGACAGTTTTCCCATGACGCTGCTAAGATGTGTACCCAGCCCAAAGTTTCACCTAACTATATTGCTACCCCTATAGATCCACATACCTTCTGAGCAGGTGGTGGATCCATAGGGGAACTATATTACTACAAGCAGTTAAGGGCGCCCTCTCACCATCACCGAATCAGCTGTTGTGGATCGTTTTTTACTTCGGCAATTCTTGGAACCCGGTTCCTGGGCGATGTTTTGATGAATTTTGGTGGAAAAATGTGTTTGTTCCCCACCTGCCAGGTGCTCAGATTGTGTCAGGATAGTCTGTCAATACATGTGCCCTGCCTTCCAAATCGATCCAAATCGCCTCTCGAGTGTCGGGATCACTCGAAGTACATGTCACATGTCATCTACTTCTTCCACCCGCGGCTTCCCGAACCAAATCCAAGCTCTCTCCCGCTCCCTCCGACCCGACCAGCACAAGAGTCCTCAGGTACGCGGCTCGCCGGTGCCGGCGCCCGTGGAGAGCTTCTTCACGGACTCGTCCGGATGTCCAGGAGGTCCTCCCGCGTGATCCTCCCGGGGTGGGGAGGGGGTCCGTCTGGTGATCCGGCTAACACCGTTTCCTCGAACGGAATCGGCTCGGGTCTTGTTCTGAGGCATCTCACTCCTATAGCTATAGAATGAATTCTGTCCAATGGTTGGTTGTCGTTACTTGGATGTGTTTGGCGTCGTTGGCCCTCTTCAGGATCTTCAGGATGCCGAGCACACTGAACTCACTTCCTGTAAGAGGATTTGTTTTGCTCAACAGGCAATTTGTTGACCACACGAGTGTGGTGAGAAGTTCCTTCCTATATCGATAATCTGATAACTGTTTTCACAAATTTGAGTTCCCTTGTTTGGCCAATCCACTTGTCACCCTCATATCCTAGTGACTCATCAAATTGAAGGGACAAGTAGGTTGATAGCATCCTTCAACACATCTTTCAACACATGTTTTCCATGATGCTCCATGATCATGGTTGCAAGTGAGCCAGCAACCATCTCCTCAGGTGACCGGTGCTATTCGACCCCCCAAGACCTCCCACCCCAGTCCCATCTTCGAAACGGAGGGGACGGCCAGGAGCCCTAACGGGATATGTGATTGTTTGTCCCGGTTCCTAAAGCAAATCCAAGTTGATGTTACTCGTCAGCTGGATCGAAGAGGAATCGCGGGGCCAGGCTGGTTCTTTGGCTTTGGCTCACAAGGGACAGGTCGCCTTACAAAGCAAGGAACCCACGTTGAGATGCAAGGTTCGTTCATTTCAGTACTTAAATCATCTTAAATCAAGAGTAATCAAGGGCAGGTAAAAGCAAAATGACTACTGTACTACATGCATATGGCATACACGATTATATACCTAAATTGTCTAAATTGCATCATATGCGGATCACTGGTGTGAATTTTCTTCCCACAGCCCAAAACGATCCGTTTCACCTGGTGTTTCACTGCTTCAATCTTGGTGACGGTGGCAATCACTTCTCTCCCAAGCGAAACCCTAGCCCTCGCCCCAGTTTGGCATCGGGCGGGTGACCCTGCAACACGCACTCTTCCAAGGCTCCCATCGGCCTTCAGCCTCTTCTTCCGAGGGGTCAGGCGCGGCTCTCACCAGAGAGCAACGCCGCGCGGCGCGCCTCGTTTTGGGTTTGTTTCGGCGTCGAGCGTTTCTTGGGAGAGTTCGTATGAGGACAGAACTCATGGTACAAGTTTTTTGGTGAACGAAATCAAGAGCAAAAATCACTTCCCTTGGTGGCTTCATGTAACATGACTGGTAATCATGTGACTGATGACTTGATCTGGGAATCCTTTCTTTGTGATACCAAGAAGTAGCGTGAAGTCACTGAGTTTTTACCTGCTTGGGCGTGCTTGGGCCTCACCCAATCTCATTTGGGTGTGGCGGCTTTCACCGAGAAAAAAAAACAGGGAGATGAACCCCTGAGCCCATTGGAACCGAATAGAACGGGGTCAAAAGGTTTCCCCGCGTGAGACATGCAGAAGTCGTCGCGGGTGAGCAGTGGGAGCATTTGGCTCACACTCATTTCGATGGACTCTCGGCAGCTTCGTCCAATTTTAGGTCGTCCAACAAACCCAGACACTCCATGTATGCCATATATGCCTGCATTGGGGTGGTTTTGGCGGTCAATGGGGCGGCATATATGGCAGTCCCATTAGTCGTGTCTGGGAAATGCTTGGAACATGTTATCATGTTCCCATCCAAACCAACGGATCTACGGGCTCGGCATCGGAACAACGTCATCGGCGCTCCGCATGCGGAACCGCAGGGGCCGGAAGTGTTCAAAGCACCGTGGCACAGACGGGGAGAGGGCGGAGGAACAAGAACGGCCGTGTTCTTGGAGGGTTTTGGGATGGATGGTCATGATCATTCTCTATAGTTTTTATACGCCTAGTGGGGAACCAGTGCATAGCCATGCATCTAGGGAAACTACCACCACACTGCCTCACAAGCTGTAGTTGAAAGTCTGACAGAGGTTGGTAGCTACAGCCCGGTACAGGAGGAAGTGATCAAGGGAGTGCAATCATTTGCTGTGGGATCCTCCGGAGGCCAGCTAGGCTCAGCAGAACCACTAGCAACGCGATGGACGAGACCCGGTGTGAGCCCGGCAAAGGCTGACCTTCGTGACCCGGACTTCCTTTCTGTCAGCCATGTTCCGCTCCAAAAAGCAGGCCGCTTCATGTGGCGCTGGTGAGGTGAGGCGCTGGTGTGGTTGATCCTGAAGTAACGGAGATAGACATTCAAGTCGATCCAAGATACGCAATGAAGATCCAGCAACAGGTCAGGGACTACTTCACGGAGCAAGGGAATCTGTCAAGTTTGGCTGCCACGGTGGACTATAGGGGGCGAAAGCAGCACCACTGGGAGGCGGGAATAGAGTCGCCAATAACCTGATCCCGATCGAGGCTGCCAGGCTTTCCCCATACTTGCAGGTGGAATGACTTGCTGAGCTGCTTTGGTGCGAGTGGCTTGCAGCAAGCTCTGTGGAAGAAATGGGAGGGCAATTCCTCCTCTCCAATCCAACCGGACGTGGGCCACATTGTCCAAGGCTACTGCTGCTCCAAAAGATGTCAAAAGAATGAGTATCCGGCTATTTTGGGTGCTGATCCTCCCTGCGTCGCCCTTGTCCAAGGATGTTTCCAGTAGCTGGTGTTGGTGTTCCATTCCTAGGGGGTCATGCCGACACCGGTCACCTGGTCACCGGTCAGGCGAAGGGACGATACGAACGGCATCAGTGCAACAACAGCGTTCCGGCACTGGTCCCGGCGGATGGCATCCAGATCCAACTCACGGAGACGGAGCAGCCCGCCGAACGGACTCCATGGCTCTATGGCGAATATCCTGCGGACGCGAAGAAAGACGAAGACTCGAACTCGGAATCCTTTTGTGAGTTGGATCAAAAGGCAAACATGACGTCATCCGGGACTTGTTGTTTTCTGAGGTCCGTGGGCATGCGCAACTGGCCTTTGGGACCGCTTTTGAACTCGCCAGCCGGAGCCGTTTTGGCAAAGGATGAGGTTCGGGGTTTGAGATTTCAAGAGCGTTGCAGCATAGGTTTTATTCTCTCGTAATCTTCGGCAAGTCAATTCCTGACCAGCTGGCTCCGCTGGATAGGTTTCCAAGCAACACTGATTGAACAAGCGGGACAGCTTTTACCTGAGGGCACGGCGCACAGGACTCTTCTTATGTACACGGATCCAGGTTGCGGTGCTGGCAAGTGGGCCACCACATTGCTAGGCTCAGAGTTCGATCAGTTGTCTTCGTTTCACGACTTGCAAGACCAAGAAACTGGGCATCCAGGCCCACAACTTGTGGCACTTCGCCTACACACTGAGAAACAATGGTCACGGCTAGGTGGCGAGACAGGCAGGGTGATCATTTGCACAGCAACGCTGTTTTGAATGGCACAGGTCAGAACCTAGGTGATGGTTTCGCAGTTTGTTTTTTGACAGACATGATCATTTGTCGTGTCAGGTCCAAAAACTTCCCCCTCAAATGCTGTTCATCGGTTCATGGGTTGTGGGCCACAGCCAAAACGTTCGTGAATCGGAGCCTCTTCGGTTGATCCAAGCTGAGGCCAACACCAATCCAGATGCAGGTGGGTTTCGTGAGTTCGCCTGGGTAGCGCGAGTTCGCCTGAGTCTGAGAAGGAATCCCGGCGAGTGCGAGTGTTCCCTGCTGCTGCATTAAACACGTTGCCCCTGGATTTTCCACTCAAGTGTTCTGTATTGAAGTATACATGACGAATGAGAAAAACACATGCCAAGGAACCAAGAGGCACCATCCAATACTGGAGATCAGGAAAACCTGAATGTTTGAAGTTCGGGGTACATGTACTATGTCCAAGAACCAATGACCTTGCAAAAACCTTTGACAAGGAACTTTCCAAGGCTACACCAAGACTATGGAAAAAAAGGTTTAACTGGTACAGTTGCTTTGGAAGCACGGGTTGCGTGAAACAAACAAACTGGTGTTAAGCTATCCTATGGATAAGCTTGGCAGACACAGGACACCCTGTGTTGAACCAACCTCAGAACTCAGAACCCACAAACTAATCTACAAGCAGGCCACGTGACACGGCTTCCTTCTCAGGTGGCCGATTGGCAAGTGTTTATGTAACATGCTTTACAAACGACAAGTTCTGAAGTTAAACTTAACCCTAGGGCTCTAAACCCACCCCAAACACCTTCTCGGAAGGTATTTAAGGGAACTGTTTCTTCTTTTTTGATCGAAACCCTCACGGGCCACTGCCATCAGGTTTGGCCTGCGGCCCTGTGCGGGCTCGATGTCATGGGTATTGCGCCGACCGGAAGTGGCCGGGGGGCCCGGGTGGTGGGGTTGGGCCGTTCTCTCCGTTGATGTCGGACCTGTCGCATGTCAGGTGATGGACCATGTGTTTGGAAAAGAGTTCTGTGTGCCTTTTTCTTATGTTTCGTTTTGTTGGGAGATCCGGTGTGTGAGGAGCTCTTGTGAAAGATCTGTTCAATAGTAACATCTCTGTGTGAGATCTCTTGTGAGGATCTCTTGTGTGAAATTCCTTGCTAAGTTTCTTATAACTTATATTATATACACAATATTACAAGAAATGCATCTTGTTGAAAAAGAACGCTTCTGTGAAGAAGAACGCTTCGAAGTGTTCTCGTCGCCGCGGGGTGAGAGCTGACTGATTGTGATGCCGCCGATGCCTTGATGTGAACCTTCGCGGAGGCCGGGTTTCGGAGCTGCATGCAGACCGACCTCGAGTTTACCACGGTTATTATCCAGTTGTTATCCAACGAGTGCAGCTTAAGCTTTTGGCTTTGCGTAGTTGCTGCTACGCAGCAACGCAGCGATTGTCCTCGAGAAAGGGGAGGAGTGGACAATTCTTGGTCTTTGGCTTGTCTTCCTATATACGATTGTTCGCAGGTGTACCAGAAATTCTGAAACATCCTGAAACGATTGCACACCGCTTGCAATCAGGTGAAGAATGGACTCGAACTCGCCACTTTTCGGCCTCTGAAGACGTTCGCTGGCAAGTCGAGAGGCAAGTCGTTCGCTGGCAAGAGCGAGTCCGAGCCATGGACAGCAATCTGCAGACATTGCCAGCCCTCCGGCTGTGGCCCGGCTGTGTGCCCACACATGTTGTGCGTCAATGCCACTCAGCGTGAGACGCAAACTTGCAAAAGTGCCGAATCCACCGGCCACAAACAAAGTCCGGTTCGGTTAGTCCACCCTCCCAAAGGACATGCAAATTAAACCCCCGTCACTGCGCAAATTGTTTGAAACCGCGTGCCCATGCAGGGGAGATCCAGATGTGCCAGGTGGACAGTGCGTACGTAGGCTGCAAATCAAAGAAGAAACCTCGCAATACAGGATGGCAAGATGAGTGAGACGCTTCTTGGCTGGCGGTTCAGCCAGCTTAAAGAATTTGCTTTGTCACGGTTTCTTTATATATGTAAGCAGCATAGCTGGACAAATGCTAAAGTCTGGTGCAGACTGCGGTGTGCTTCAGCTCGAAAACACAAAAGTTCAATGATGTTCAATGTACAAATAACAATCTGTAATAGTTGACAATGCCGGAAGATTTTCATGTTTTTCAATCCTTTGTTGAGATCACACAGGTCAAACAGGTTGACACTGTCGACACTACCAGGTTTTTTGTGGAGAGAACTCGGTACTCATCAGCTAGAGAGCAACCAGTCGTAGTGGCAAGGGAAACCCGTATTCGACCTATTTCATGTAAAGTGACCCTGATGGCAGCCGCTGGAATCCTGGTATGGGAGGCAAAGTGCCTGGCTTAACCGTGGCATCCAGAGCTTCTGCAGAACATGGCGCTGGTCAGAAAGTATGAAAAAGGTATCCAAAGCTGGTCTTGGTTCAAACACTTCACCAAGTGGTTGGTCGTAACACTTCACCAAGTGGTTCGTCGTCCCCGGTTCAACGGTGCCAAAGCAAACTGTGTCAATCCGCTTCAGCCAGTGCCTGAAGAGGTAAGACCTTGGCTTACTTACTGCCAGCAGTGTCCGGGAACCGAGCGACGCCTGGACAATGACACCAGGCGACTGCTGAGTCTCCATCAGGATTTCTGAACACTGCACTCCCGAAAACTAACATAGACCCTGACGTCCTGGCCCCCTGGAAGAGTGTTTTCCTCTATAGAAGCAGTGGTTTTCAGGGTCCATGGGATCGTCTTCCAGGGTGTAATCCTCGGAGTATGTGAAGTCCATCAAGTTTGGAGGCTGCGAACCAACTCCATCAACCTGGCGTTGCCAGGCACATGATGTTCAACACAGCCTGATGAGTCATGAGCTTTTCAAAGCGCTCCAATGGGAACGGGTCGGTCCCTATGGGTGCCCCCCCCATGGCTTTGACCTTGCTACCGGATCTGGGTATATACTTCGATCAGTGCCCTTGCGTCTCACCTGATCTTCGCAAGATTCTGTGACCGCCCTCTTATTGAAGCAAGAAACCGATGAAGAAACCCATGAATTTCAAGGCCCACCCACTCTGGAATCCAGGTGAGAAACGGACTCCAAGTGGTGGTGAGAGATGTTCCACCAAGACTATTCTTCTCACCACTTGTTAGGGGTTTTCTTCTGACCCCAACTGCTTTTCCATGTGTCGGTCTGCCCCAAGGCTCAAGGCTCAAGGCAGACCCCTTCATGGTCTGATTTTCCAAATCTTCCGGCCCTTCAAAGAAACGACTGAGGGTGCACTTGGCGGGACAAAGTGAAAAAGAGAACCTGAGCCTCTCGGCAGCAGACCTCAGAAGTGATGCTGCTGATGGAGCTTCTTCTTACTGCTTCATCCATCTGGCGAAGAAAACAACCTTCGGAATCGTTGGAAACAGATCCATTAGATGATCCAGATGTGTGGGCAGTAGAATCGGCCAGAGATTTGCGCGTGCCTGACTGAAGGAGAGAATTTGTAAGAGCTAGCCGTCGACGCGGAAACTAGTTCTGCATTTGCTGGGTGAAAGGCACGTGCCCAAGTGATCAGCCGCTATATATATAATTGTTTTTGATATCCCATAAATAGAACCAGGTGTTAACAAAAACCTTTGTTTTGCACCAGGGCCCATAGTATTTGGGGGTGAAGCGGGGTGTACCAGGGCTCTCGTTTCGGGTTGTCTATGAAATTCTATTCTATGAATAGCCTCTTAGAGGTTTAGGGGGTCTCCATCAACCACCCAACTCCCATTGGACCGAACGCATTCGTTTGTGCACGCTGCCAAGGCCCCGCTGCCTTGGTCCTCTTGCCCACGCGTGAATTGGCGTCACAGGCGGCACGATGGAAATCGGAAAACGCCAAAAAGGGTTGCAGAGATCCTGGGTCAAGATTCCTTCCTGTTCTGCCTCTATATGTATAGCAGAACATTGCATCACACGCTTGTCTAGGTCATGGTTTCGGATATGTTTATTTTCAACCCTTACTTGGGGATGAGCAGGGACCCTCTGACTCATATTTTTCCTTCGTGGGTTGAAAACACCAACCAGGTTGTCTCAATCTTCTGAGAGCTCGTTGGACCTCGGAATATTCCCAAACATCCTTCTTCTGCGAATCAGTTTCACCTCGTAGTAATCCCAAACATTCCCTGTATTGCATATGTATATGACGTATATATATGGAGTGCTTAGGAATTACATGTTCAGCCGTTTGGCAGTGCTTAGGCATGGACTTGGGAACTACTTCCGACTGGCTGGCCATGTCCGGATGGGGGGACCTCGTGGTTGCTTGCTCACTGACATGCCCAGTGAGGATCAAACAAGTCATAATCTATATAATCTATATAACTACGATCCAGCTTGCCCAAAAACAAAGCAAACAATAACAAACACCGAGCATATATGACAAGGACTCTGTTGAGTATCACCGAGATGAAGCCAAGGGAGACCAATTGTGTGCATGAGCCTTTGCAAAAAACTGAGGGGTTCGGCGCATTCTCAAGCTTGTTGAACGGCAAGACAAGGAGCACACTGAGGAGCCTCCACGAGACAAAACTTACACTCATACAACTTATACAGGCAGCTGAACTTGGGATCGTTTCAGTTTACTTCTTTGAGCTGTTTAATCTTGGACCTGTTCAGAGCAGACAGACTATCCACTTCACATCCGACCCTACCTGGTACTCTTTTGGTTCAAAGTCTCACCGCATGGAGCGCTCGATCCATGCTCCGCATGCTCTTGATCCATCAACGCATGGCTCCCACGCTCCCTTTTGGTGCTTTCGGTCCTACCTTGGGGGGATTTCCGCGGTCGATACCGGGGTCAGACTTCAAAATACGCCCAAAGGTGGCATGGGATTGGAATATTGACCTAGAGTGACCCCGGCACCACCCCGCCCCTGGCTGTATGCCAGTACCCGCCGCTCGGATGAACTTTCCACCTTTCCAAGGTGTCTCAGTCTGCTCGCTCGCGAAAAGTGATGTTCGATGGTCTTCAAGTCCAGGTCAGTGACCAGTTCAACGGGAAAGGAGGCTTGAGGCGGGACCGTGTTCGGTCGCGACCGCAACCAACGAAAGCAGCGTGTGGGGCGCCCGTGCGAGACAAGGACGGGCGCAGCTTGCGCCACCACGTCGGGCAAACATCGCCGCGCCCTAAACCCGCTTCTGGTGCGGATAGGCCGAAACGGATGGGCCGATAGGCATAGCCCTGGTGGACGGTAGAATGTTGACCCTCTAACCGTTCTAACCATCTTTGACCTTTGTTGGGAGATCATAATACAGCCTATGCAGCACACCATATTATCATATGTTATTCATCTGCCTAGTGTTGAGAGTCATCATGGTCAGTGATTTACAACCACCCTTCTTGGGAGAGGGTTCCCTCAAGTGGAAAGAGGTTGACCGTTAACCTGTTCCACACAATCACTAAGTTGGTTCACATAAAAATTCTTGCCCAGGACGGGCAAAGGCCATGGTCCTACGTACTTTGACTGTCTATTCATGTCCCCACTAGGTTTCCACCACTGCAGAATTGGCAGACATACCATGGCCACACGCATTCGTCAAGATCTGGTGCTTCCTGGACCCCTGGACACGACCTGTCTGGGACTGGCATAGGACTACCGATCAGTTGGGGGGTGATTGCGGGGTCAATGTAGGTACAGGTCAATCTAGGCCAGTCCCATGGAGGGTTAACCGGTAGCATGCGCAACGCACGCTTGTTTTTTTCGATCCGGCAGCTTGGACGCTTGTTCTTGTCTCGATGTCGCTTGTTGCTTGTGCAACAAGTTTGACAAACATTGTTTTGCTTATTTATTCTTTTCATCCATGTCCATGGAATTGTTTTTGGTGACTGGTACACATCCAAAGCAGACCTGGTTGTGCCCATGAGTTAGTCATTGGTTTTCCATCAAACTGGTCACAGGCTGTTCATGCTTGTCCCAAAAATTGGCAGCACACCCAGTGTGTGGCACTTCACCCGGTTCGAAACGGCTTCCATTGCAGACCTCAAAACCCACACAAGAGATGGCTGATCTCCACTCATTTTGAGAGGCAATGCCAGTGCAGGACTGGATACAACCCTATGAAATATCAGTTTTGAGATGTTTATCCACGTCTATCCGTGTTCATTGTTCATCCAAAAGAGTACAGTGCCATACTGCCAGCTGCTTCTACAAACGTCTTCCTGGAGGCAGGTGCTCAACGTTCGCTGTGCAGCCATCTACGGCGGTGCCGGGTGGCTAAGTCGAAAAGGTCACTTAGTTGTTGTGAGTGAACAAGAAGTAGGCCTGCTAATTGGAGAATCTTGCAGAGAATGAACAACTATACTATTAGGCCCTTCAATGTTTATACATGCATGAATCTACTCAACTCACGTGAGAAAAAATCATGATACAACCCTATTAGGCCCTTTAATTTTTATACATCATAACTAGACCATATAGTCCCCATAGTCCCCAGAGCTCCAATCACATCCACTCTCCCAGTAGGTTGTGTTGGGCGGTTATTGGCCATGTTCGACGCCTCCCAGTAAGTTCACCTCCGGTTTTCTTGGTGCCCACCGTTAGAATGACGTAGGAATAGCTTTGGGAGGAGGATCTTGCAATGGGAGACCAAGACAAAACAGGAGATGGCCAGATCTGGAGGAAAAACTGCTGGCAAGTGCATCTTCCGAGCTTCAGCTTTGACTTGAACTTCACCACACTCAAGCGGTTGACTTGGAGAGACTTCTCTTTTACAAGAAAAGACACGCTTCCTGTCAAGTCAAGCTTTCAAGGGCTCCTGTGATTCAAGGGCTCCTGTGCGTTTCAGTGTGTTTGCTCGGGATGTGCTGCTGCGAAAGCAACCAACGCCGCTTCTCACGCCGCTTCTTCCGGGGGTTCAGAGTTCCTAAACACGACCTGTTCCGTTCGTCCTGTTTGGCCTCCAGTCGTACCCTTCGTGGCGAATGTGTGACGACCGGGGCCCGGGTGCCAGGAGGGTCCAGTCATACCTTCTGAGGAGGTACGACTGGAGCTATAGGGAGTAGCTTCTTGTGACGTAGCGATGGCCTCCAACCGACCTGCGATGGCCTCCACCGAGCATAGGGTCCTTGTTCCTAAACACGACCTGTTTGGGACTGGAATGGATGCCGCCCCATTTGACCTCCGGGAAAATCCACCCCCAATGTACCAGGAGCATCCTGTTTGGCTGTCCAGGCTTCACTATAGTTACCCAGCCCACTAGTATCCGGGATCTTCACCCAGGACACCAGTCCTAGACAGGTTCGTGCTGCGTGTCTGAAGGGTTCCAGACTTCGCTAGCTCACCACCGAGACACCACGAGAAAACGGCCAGGGCTCAAGGGGTCGGTATATCTTCCATGTCCCATCTGGCTAAGCGGCTAAGACCCATTGGCATTAACATGATTTAACATGCCCTACAAATCCAAGTACCTTCTCAGGGTACCTTCTGAGAAGGTACTTGGATCCCTACGAAATGCATGAACTCACCTGCCCAGAGTTAGAAGGCAAAGGCAGTTAGAGTGAACTCCATGACCTGACCGTCCTGAACTGAGTTCAGCTGTGGTGTGACATGCACCTGTCCCATGGATTCTTTGGGATCAATAGCTCCAAGTCAGCCAGTCAGCCAGGACCGGAGGACCGACCGTCACACCGTCACACCCTGTGACCGTGACCGGGCCCTATCGTGTCGTCTTCCGTATCCAGACCGGTCGTCTCGCGCCATAGCTCACCCTACCAGGGGGGAAGCCATATTGTTTGGGTGCTTCATGATGCTTCTATGTCCATGTTCCAATCTCCAAATCCACCTCAGTCTACACAAGGCCCAAGGGAGATCGATCCCGTATCGGACCCCCTACGAATGATATCTATAGCTTATAGGATCATTAGGATCCTTACTGGTCATCTGAGTCAGAAAGGTTATACTTCCAATCTCTTCCAAAACTTCCCTTTCGGATTCTCATCTCCAAACGCATCATGAACAGATGCTCCATCCAAATCCCCCCAAAAGTCACCCATTCAGCTGCTTCGTGCCGCTTCGTGCCGCGAAGCGGCTGCGAACTTCGCCCGAATCCACGCCTTACGTGGAACACAGGTGGGGAAGGATGTGCAGGTGGATCAGATTCTCACGGGCGGATGCCCCGAGGCGAGACCGGGGAACCTTTCGGGGCGGCCGGTTCTTTGGCGGTGAGGCGGAGCGAGTCGGGGAAGATAGGTGGGTTTTGTGGAGATCCTTCTAATGATCAGAGAGGAATGATCTGAATGACATGCAAGGAAGAGAAAGAAAGTCGCAGAGTTATGAACAGTGGTTGATCGGAGGGTCACAAGATGTCGAAAGTCAAGGATCAATGAATCAAGATGGATCAAGAAGACCCAAGGGTATACTACTCCACAACAATAGTAAATAACACTTGCGTGTGTCACATAACATGTGGGGGACTGCACCCATGCCTTTTTGTTAGGGGAAATATGATATATTATGATATATCTTGGTGCCCTCATCGACAAGAGCATCAAAGCACTTAGGTGGGCTGGAGACGCCATTCATGAGACGCGCGAAACGATGGCATTGGTATCTGAGCGCCTGAGCGAAACGGGCGTTTACAATGTGACACAAATCCATGCTCCATGGAACCTGCTCCCCTGCAAAATACAAATGCCTATTTTTCTCGGGTGACCATGGAGGATGATGCAGCATGTAGCATGTGGTTTCACTAAATAATGAATGAGGGCACCTTACATGGACACCTATGTGTTTCCATGTGTTTCTTGGGTTGCATGCAAGCCAACCAATCCCGCGGATAATATCCCGTTTGACTATATGACAAGAATTGATTATTATGGCTTTTTAGAATTATCTGTCCATGTCCTCTTCCTTTTTGGACCTATATGACCTATACATATAGGCTTCGATGAGAAATCAACGAGTGCCAAACCCCATCCGTTGAAGCCACGCCTGGCGCCATCTCCTTCAGGTGGTGTCCGCTACACCTGGGAGATTGCGCCTTGGATGCGGCGCGGGAGAAGCGGCGCGGGAGACGCGGCCGACGAAGCATCTGTCGAGGCTATCACTACACTCTCTAAGAAGCATTTGGGGGGTGTCTCTGCTTCTGGCTGTTGTTGTCCTACCACAGAGTGGGGGTGTCTCTTGCTCTTGAAGATACCTATCTTTTGTTGTCCAAACTGCACCCCCACTGAACGCACCGCCCGCCTCTTTCGGGCGGTTCCGCGCCGAATTCCTTCGTTGCACCGCGGTTCAAGAACCCACCGCGGAAGAACCCACTCCGCGGAAGAAAAGCGGCGGGTTCCGCGGAGGTTGGACTTGTTGGGCCTCGCCGCCTTGAGCCTGGACTCCGTGAGCTTTCTCGTGCTGGACGAGGTGGGACCTCGGATCGACTGGCAGCTCGGAGGAGGGTCGATCGGGGTTCACCGACCGGTGTCGTTGAGATCGGGATCGGTGGATGGAGAAAGCCTGGAAGGTGGTGTTTTCCTGGAAGACGCACGGGAGTAGGAATTCTTTGGGCGCAGGACGCCTGATCCCAAAGCCTCAGTGGCGGAGGTCAAAACGGAAGTCAGGAAAACTCAGAAAGGGTGGAAGGGCGACATATGTCTCAGACTCTTTTGAGCTACGGACGGCCTCGCTTTAAGTCGCTATCAACTGGAGGAAAGTGATGCCTCGCTTTAAGTCACTATCTGGTTCGGGACGGAAGATGTTCAGTGCACTTTTGTTGAATCTTTTTGATGTGTGTTTGATCGTGTTTTGTCACTCATTCAAAGCGTTCGGGTATGGTGATTGAATTGTTCAAGAAAACCAACTGACAATGAGTAGATGAAACACTGCTAGATGAGAAGCAGGATTCTTTGACCTACCTGGAGAGGTTCAACAAGTGTTTCGTGTGTTTACTGCCACAAACTCTGCCATGTTTGAACCTGCAGAGAACATCAACCCCGCTGGTGTAAGCACAGAATGATCAACAAACGTCGACAAAGCTCCCATATTTTGACCAGGTCTGGATGCCACTAATTACTCGAAATTCGGTACGGATGTACTAAGTAGCACGGAATGAATGCGGTCACATCTACAATTAGGGTTGTTCACACAGGCTGCGTGCGTGCGATTTTCGGACGTGGCATCAGTACAGGCAGACAAGATGCTCCAACTGGGATTCGAAGAACAACTGGATGCTGTCGCCAAGGCGAGCTAAATGCATTATATGTGCCGATTGGTGGGCAAGGACTATTCATGTCATGAGTGGTAAACGAGATCCCTTTATGTACTGATGCCAATTGATGCCAGTGATTAGAGGCATGCACCCGATAGCAAAACTTGTGCAGTGTCCTCAGTTGCAATTCTACGGACATGATTTGAGTCTTTTGGTCGAAGGTACCACCTGGGAGCGGATCCCGATGGACCCGGATCCACTGCCACCGAACCTCAGGTACGGTAATTGGAGACTATTTATGCAGGCGCCAGGAGGGTCCAATTACCTTCTGACAAGGTGGCAGTGGATCCATAGGGATCCATGGGGGCTGTATATATCAATCCGATCTACATAGGGTTTATCGAGAGCCTGCATGCGGAGCTTGTCATGGGCTGAGCCCGGAGCTCCAGCTGTTGCTACGACAAAAACCGCTGTTGTTTTCCGTATGAGCAGCCGCTCATAGGGCTCCCCACCTGGTTCAACCTTCCCGGGAGCTGTGTAGGAACTGGAATGGCCATCAATATCCATCAATGATAAATGATTAACCAAAACATTGCATATAGATGTTCAACCACATTTGGCAGAATTGGCGGCGAATTCAGGGCATCCGCCAATTTAATCTAGGCCTAGGACCTAGGAGTCGGGGAGGACGAGGACGTGGGTCACCACAGGGAAGATCACCTTGCGTGCCGTCCAAGCCGTGGTTGCCGTCCAAGCACAAGAAGAATGAGATCTGCATAGAGGAATCTCATATACTTTGATGGCCTGGTAGGCCTGTCACTTTGCTAACTGTCCAAGAATCCGATTTCCACATGGTCCGGACCCAGCATACTAAACCCGTGTGTGGCCCCTTCAGTTATTCGGGGGGTCCAGGTAGGTTTGGTGTTGGTCCATACAACGCTGGCAATGGCAGTCCGCTATGGCTCCTGGCCCACCGTTTCGGTTCGATTGGGCGGGTCGGGGTGGGAGGTCTTGGGGGGGTCGGAGTCGAATACCACCGAACCTCAGGAGATGGGACAGGAGCCATGACTCCCTTTCTCGGAATCTAAAAACCTGAAGCCTGACCAGTCGATTAGCATGTATAGTGAGTATTGAACCAGTCCATCATGTATACGTCGAGCGGGTGGTAGCATGTAGCTGTCATGACCCGCAGCCAATCTCAGAACCACAAAAGGCTTCTGGCCCGAGTGACAACAACACACATCTTAAAAGTACACTGAACATCTTCCCTTCGCAGATGACTGGCACTCCTTCCATTTCCATATATTCACCCCACGTCCTCCCTCTCCTCTCCTCCTCCGCTCCTCGGTCCTCTCCCAGGCGGTTCGCCGAGATCGGCAGTGCTTGCTCTTCTCCGCCACCTTCCCGGAGCGCCTGCGCCAGGCGACGCGTTTCACCACGACGAGTTAACGTTGCGCGGTGCGGTGTGGGAGCGTGGGACCATGGGTCGAAACTCGAAGGCCTCGGGTTTCGGTGGAGAGAGAGGCGGAGAGTGTTTGAGTAAGGGGAGGGGCAGAGGAGGTTTCCGGGAAGAAAGCTAGATTCACTCCGGCAACTGGTAGCAGGAAGCCCAATGGTGAAGGATTCATGGCCATTCTGGTGAATTTTGGAGGGATGAGATTACACTAGAGCCATGCCATAAACCCACTTGCTTGTAATGCGTAAGGGTCTTGTCATATGAGCTGAGGGCGTAAGGAAAACACTGCAGTGCTCAAGGTTGCGTAAGCTTTTTTGTGTCTGTTGTTTTGCAGTTCGCATTTGATGTGAGAACAGATTTGGTTGAGGAGGTTTGCTGTGTTTACTAGAAACAGAATCCTCACAAAATTGAGGAGAGTCACGGCACGTTCCGCGTAAGGCGCGCGTAAGCTCCGCGTAGGCAGCGCGTAAGTCTCATGCGCGTCCGTGAGTGCCCACATGGCTCCCAAAACCAAAGCCTTTTGCCAACACTGGCCGAAAATATACACTTCAGCCAAGCGTCCGCTCTGCTCATTGTAATGCCAACACAAAACAGGTCCATAGAGGAGAAGCTCTTGGACTCTTGGCGGTGTCCATGAGGTTTGGTGGCCAAATGACGTTTGTGATGTCGCTGCGCCATGCGGTTTTGCGCGGCCTCGGAGGAAAGTGCGCTTGCGTGAGTCCGTGTCACTGTGGACAGGAACGCATGCTTCTGCAAGTAGTGCTCTTGGAGATTGGGCACGACAAAAGAGCACCGTTTCAAACTTGTCTAGATTGTCAGTCGCTGTTTTTGTGAGTTTGCCATGGCGTTCCAGAAACCCTGCCATGACATGTTGTTCTGGTGTCGTGGAGCCTTGGCGCGTCGAGAATTGTCAGAAAGCGTTGGCAGATTATGGATCTTATGTTGGAGGTGGAACGCTGTTTTGGCTGACTTCGTCTGCTACACCGGACTTGTGCTTTCAAGATGCTGCTTATAGCTTCAAGGAGCTTGAAGACATGAGCAACAAGTTGCAGCTGTGCCTTGTGAGCGTTTCAGTTGCCAGTGAGATTGGTTCCCTCGGAAAGGCTGTGGGGGGCTGCGCCGCTTCTAAGGCGCAAGCAACCGTCTTTTCCCGCCATGGTCCAGACCTTCGCCAAGACAACGCCGAACCAGTTCCTCAAAATCCTATATCCATTGGGGAGCATTCTTGCGATCGCGGTCTGGTGGGCGGCTGTGCTTTTAAGCTCAATTTCTCTGCTGTTGCTTCTCCCCCAGCTTAAATTCCAAGCCTTGACACAAGGGTAAGTCTTGCAGCAATATAAAATTAGAAGCATCGAGTCTTGGCTTACGTGTTTGACTTGGAGCTCCAAGGTCAATATGTTTACCGCGCTGAGGGATGAAAACCAGGCCGACGTAGCGGCGCTGTGGAGAGTGGCAAGGTCAGTGCACCTGGTGCACATGTCTGTCCGTATCATTGACAGCAGTAACCAGGGGACGCTGCTGAGGGCAAGCCTGGAGTGCTCTGCTGAAGGCAGCCTGTATACTGAAAGTTCATTTCTGCTGTATTCGCGAAAGTTGGTGAACTTCTTGAATGCCACATTAGGGAAGACTTCCCGCTCGTTGGAAAAAGATTTGCTCTGGCTGCAGGGCAACTTTCCAGCTTTGAGATACGGAGGCCAGCCCATCAACCGGGCAATGCTACACGCTGCCCAATGTGTAGTTGGTGTTTTCCAAGATGATCCCGGAGCCACAGCTGCAGCAGCTGCGTTGGTTCGATTATCTTTACGGCGTGGCCCAGATGTCTTATCCCTACAGTACACAAAGATGGCGCAGCTGGCGTCAGCTGTGCGGCGCTGGTCCCTTGACAATTTGTCCGTTGAACCTCGAACTCAGCGGCGGTCGTCCAATGGATTGGTGCAGGAGAGCCCAATTTTAGCTGCCAGCTTGCTCAGTCTGTGAAAAGTCAGGCCACGGGTGCTCAAAGCAATGCAAGGCAAGCCATTGCTGGCTCAGAGTGGCCTTGGAGAAGTGCAGGCTTCATTGTTGGCTGCTTCGTAACATTAGAGAGGCCGGCGTCAAAGATGGTGCTGAGCCATGGGTGGATGCTTTGCAAAGCCTTTTGTCGCCTTTGGTTCACTTTGGAAGATGATTCAAAGAAGCATCTAGGCCCTTGGTTGGAAGTGCTTGCCGGTGATTGTGACAAGGATTTCCAGCATGACCGGGTGCAGCAGCTTCGTGAAAGGCTTTTGACTTTTGACGTCATTGAACTTCCACAGAAGTGCGCTTGCTTATACATGTCGAATGATTGCTGTGTTTTTGGTGTTGCCGACCGCGCAAGGTTGATTGCCGACAGTTGCCACACATTGTATGAGCAGCAGGCGGAAGACGTGCTGAAAGTGTTCTTTCCAGAAGCATTTGAACAACAAAGCTCTTTGGATAGACTGGGCGTCAACTGGGATGGAGGGGATCAGCTGGAGTGAAATCATTCCGGCTTTATTCTTATAGAGGGTGAAAGGAAGATGGGGAAAATCTTCCCTACTGGCTCCGCTCATGCAACGCCTGGCGGGCCTGTGTCGGATTTGTCATTTTAGCAGCGGCAGTAGTTGGTAAACCAGAGTGGCTGCAACGTTTCAATATCCATGGTTGAAAGGATCCGGTTTCGGTTCGGTTTGGCGTTGCGTCAATTTTTTATCGGTTGGATGCTTCGGTTGGTTCAATACTATTACATTATTGAAAGTATTGTTTTCCCTTTTTCGGTTCGGTTGTAGGTTCGGTTCGGTTTGCAGCGCCAGCAGCGTCGAGGGCAAAATCGGGCGGCGGCCACCTCACCAAGACCATTGCAGGGTTGACCTAGGAAAAATAAGACATAACAGCTTCCAGGAAGGGCGGGTGAAGGACGAACCATGCATGTTGGGAAAGGCAGAGTTTATACAACGTTTAGGCCATGCTTATACCTTCCTCACATAGGCTTCTCCTTCAAGGAGCTCACGGCTCACTACCAGAGCTCTCGTGCTTTCCCCCGCAAAAAGGTCTAAACCCACTAAAGAAGGCTAAGGGTGGAAACCATGTCCAGGTGATTTTTCACACAGGTTGCGATTTGAATCGCAACCCAAGACTGATGCCAAGGGAGAATGTTGGCAAAGGCCGGGCTTATACCATGTTTAGGCGTCTAAACTCACTAAAGGAGGCTAAGGGCGGAAACCATATTCAGGCGATTTTTCACACCGGTTGCGATTTGAGTCGCAACCCAGGTTGCGAATTGAATCGCAACCCTAACCCAAGACTGCGGATGCCAAGGGAGAATGTTGGCAAAGGCCGGGTTTATGCTATGTTTAGGTGTCTAAACCCACTTTAAAGAAGGCTAAGGGCGGAACCCATTCAGGTATAGTCTCAGACTGGACCAACTCCTTCTCACCTCAAGCCATATTTATTCAAGTGTGAAAAGGGCAGTCAGGGCCAAGGAGTATAAACGCACTCTAAATGCAGTATAAACTTGCCCATGCCCTGCGCTCGTCGCTCTCCCTCTTTCGGTCCCTCCCTCTTTCCCTCTTCTCTTTGTAAAGGCGTAACCCCTTCTCACCCCAAACCATGAAGAAAGTGAATTATTCAAGTGTGAAGAGGGCAGGGCCAAAGGAGTATAAACGCATTCTAAACGCAGTATAAACATTGCCCATGCCCTGCGCTCGTGACTCTCCCTCTTTCGCTCCCCCCTCTCTCTCTCTCTCTCTCTCTCTCTCTCGCTCCCTCCCTTCCTCCCTCCCTCCCTCCCTCCCTCCCGCTCACTCTCTCGCTCTCTCTCTCTCTCTCTCTCTCTCTTTCTCTTTGTCTCTCTCTCTCTCTCTCTCGTGAAAATCCATTAGAGAACCCTCTCTGTCCCGTAGATTGACAAGAAAAACAAACTTCCAGCTCTATGTCTGCTAAGGCGTCCAAACTGGACAACAAAAACAGGTTTGAATTCCTTGCAATTGCCGGTCATCAGAGGGCAACGGGAATCAACCAGGTCTACTGGCCCTTTAAGATAAGGGCAGCCACAGGCTACAACAACAGCTTCATTCGCACAGAGAACGACTTGTTTTTCAACGCCGACGTCATTTACGTGCGACATCAGGACGCTGGCAGAGATCTCTCCGACTTTCGCGGCACCGGCGTGCCTGTCATAGAGGGCATGGAGGATGTCCCTGCTATGGCTTACCATAGGACATTCCACGCTGCCATCAAGGGCATTCAGCAAGATGGCTTGCTGGTCGGTGGCGGTGCCCGGCGCAACTCCGGAAGGGCCCACATCTAGTTGGCCCGAACCCAGATTCGCCGGGAGAGGTTGTGCCGGGAAATCGGAGACTCAATCCGATCGAAGTTGTTGCGGACTTGCAGTGTGCGACCAAGGATTTAGCCAATCAGGAAAAATGAATTTACTCAGGGGTGAAGAAAGGCTCAAGTACATCCACGGTCTAAGTGGACTATAAAAACGAAGGCTGAATGGAGGGTGTGTGTGTGTGTGGAAAAGCAATCTGCCTGCACGAAGTTGGTGCATTATCCAAAATACCTTCCCGACAATCTTCTAGTCAAGGTTGTTGCAAAATGGTCTTGGCGACTCAGCCGCGCAATCGGTTCGGTGTCGGCGGTCGGTTTGCGTGTTTTCCTTGCCTCGGTATCGGTTCGTTGCGGCGTCGTATTCGTCCTTTCAGTTCGGTTTTTCGATTTGCGGCGTTTTTGCGATCGGTTCGGTTCGGTCTGCATCAGTTTTGGTTTCGGCGCTGCATTTTGTATGGTTGAAACAGCCATGATATCAGACAAGTGATCAAGTATGGTTTAAAAGCAACGCGAGCATGGGGATTGTTTTTGCCGTGATATTGGCGTGTGACCCTTGTGAAATGCGGACTGAAGAGATGGGGCATGGCTGCTTCCGTGGATGTGCCGGTGATAATAACAAGGCGCTCTATAGCGTAATTATTTTTTGTACCATGCCATAAACCCACTTGCTTGTAATGAGTAAAGGTTCTTGTCATAAGAGCTCGGGACGAAAGGAAAACACTGCAGTGCGCAAGGTTGCGTAAGCTTTTGGCGCCGCGTAAGCTGTTTTGTGTTTCTGTTGTTTTGCAGTTCGCAGTTGATGTGAGAACAGATTTGGTTGAGGAGGTCTGCTGTGTTTACTAGAAACATGAACCTCACAAAAATCGAGGAGAGTCATGGCACGTTCCGCGTAAGGCGCGCGTGAGCTCCGCGTAGGCAGCACGTAAATCTCATGAGCGTCCTTGAGTGGTAGCCCACATGGCTCCCAAATCCAAAGCCTTTTGCCAGCACTGGCCTGAAAATATACACTTCAGACAAGCTTCCGCTCTGCTCAAATATGCCAACACAAAACAGGTCCATAGAGGAGTAACTCTTGGACTCTTGGCGGTGTCCATGAGGCTTGGTGGTGCACTGTTGCTTCTAGTCTGTGGCACACCGTGTGGCCAAATGACGTTTGTGATGCCACTGCGCCATGCGGTTTTGCGCGGCCTCGGTAGTAGTAACTCTTGAAGCCCTATCGTTGTACAAAGCACGTCGCGTAAGCATGTTCCCAGCGGATTCGCAAAAAATCTGCGAAGTCTGGCTGCATAACGGTGGCGTAAGCATCCACTTCCCCCCACATGCCACGTAAGAAAACCTGTGGAGCGCGTAAGAAAAACCTATCCCTCCAAGTCAATGACCGCATTAAACTTGTTCATATAGAATTGGAGACAATGACCACTATTTACTTTGTTAGAACCTAGTTTTACTTGGTCCCACTAAAGTTCCGTTAAAGCAACAAATGGTGTCCATGATCTCTTCAGGTGGTTTGGAAGGGAATCAAAGGCGATTTTGAGTGATATTCCAGGTGTTCTTGGTGGCTTTGAGGGTAAGTATTCGACATTAAGAGCAAAGAGGTCTGAATTGTTGACAACTATTTAGCGTAACAGGAGCGTAACAGTTCCGTAACAATCCCCTCCAGGAGACTTCTAAAACTGCAAATGATCTTCCAAAACCGTAACAGGAGCGTAACTGGAGCGTAACAGGTCCTTAGTCCCCTTAATGTTTGCAATATGTAAGAAAATCATAGAAAAATGTGACCAGGACAGTTGTTTTATTTGCATGAATTAAACATTGGGTGCATTTTTGCAGGTTCTATGTGCAATTAGTGCGGTGATGTTGAACTCGCTTGGATAAAAGGGCTTGGGTTCCGGCAAACCAAAGGTACTCGTAAAACTTGTTATTTTGGAAAAGTACTCGTTTAACGTGCACTTCGGACATGCAGGGTATGTGTTGCGTAAGCACCCTCTTACGACATAGGAATCTATCAAGGTTTCCGGCACAGCTCACTAGACGGGTAGAGAGTTTTTGAACCCAACCGAAGGATCCCATGATTGTCCCACTTGCAGTTGGCGGAAGAGTGTATTGAAGGGGACCTTTACTGTACAACAATGTACAACATGCTTTGATTTGATAACAAAGAACAGCTTTGTGTTCATGTCAACCCATTTGCTTCAAGATTCAATCTCACGTGCTACGTTTTGCACGGGATAGAAGTCTGTGAGCGGAATAATGGAATCAAGGACTTAACGTGACTATTGCAACATTTTGCAACGATACTTTTCTTGAAGGATCTGTGGGCCCGCGGAAGATGTTTGCAGGGTATCAAGGCTAGCCAGGTTTAGTGTTTTCCTTTTTCCATACTCGTTTGGTTGACCCTCCCTAGCAGCAACACATCAGAACGTGAAAATAATAGGTACCAGCTACAAGAGAGCCTTCCTCCTTTATTCAGCACCAGGCTGCTGAGAGATGGATGACGAGTACTGAGAAGGTGGTGGCCGGGGTTCCCCAGGTGGCGGGAAGCGACACCAATTCTGGGCAAGCTAGATCAAAGAACACACGTGACCGGTGGACATTTTTAGTCTTTGATTCCTGGATGAGTCTGTTGAAATGGGTCCAGCCGGAAGTGGAGCAGCTTGTCGTGGAGGACTACAGAAGTGATGGGGGCTGCAGAAGTGATTATATTCCCAATACGTGCGTGTGGTATGGGTAAAAAAGTATGGCTCCATAAAAATAGATGCTGAGCACCATTGGGAGTCTGGGAGGTTACAGTTAGTTTGTTCCACAAAATTTCCTTACACATATCCACACCAGTTGGACCTCTAAATGCTCTAAAAACCACATCTCGAAATCTTTGAAGTCCAGTTCGACCATTCTTGGGCCACATCGAAGTCAAGGACATGCTTTGACTCGGATGACCTCATTGGAGACTGTTGATGTAGGTGCCAAAACGTCGGGTCCAGTCGTACCGAACCTGAAGGTCCTTCGCTCCTTCACGGTCCTTCGGTTGATTGGTGACTTGGATCTCTTTTTGGGGAACCGAACCATTGAACTCACTCACCAAGTACCGAACGAACGTCACCTGATCTCCGATTGATTGGTCCTTCGCTCTTCCGCCGAAAAAAGGACCCGTTTTTCCTCACCTCCCTTCGTCGCCTCCGTCGTCGCCCAGATTCGCGTGGGCTCCGTCAGCATCGGAGCGCCGGAGCGGGAGCGAGGCGCGAACGGCGCGCGCTGTCTGTGCGCGGTTCGGGAGCGGGAGGGAGGCGGGGGCGCGCACAGCGCGGTTCGACACGTGTGGCGGGCGCGGGCTTTGAGGTGGTGGGCTTTGACGTGGCGAGGAGTAAAGGAACGTTCTATGTGGGCCAAACTCCTTGGCTTTGAAGCTGTGTGTTTTCTCCAAGTGACCTTTTACAGCCCAAGTGATCCAATCCTGGGATCTCAAGAGATCTCAAATGGTCACTTTGAAGGTCCTGCATGGCAACATAGCATTTTGAACTTTAATAATTAGTTTGGGTTGGCGCCCCTCCCGGTTGGTTCAGAATGGGAAGAGGTAACCAAGGGGGTTTATTCTCCCTGACCATTCCCTGGGTTTGTCCTGTGTGTACTTCCTGCAGAAGCTGAGGATACGGGATTACGTTACTTTCGCTTCGGTGGGGTGGGTGGGTGGGTAGGTGGGTGGGTGGGTCCATTCATACCGGGTCCAGTCATACCTTTGCTTCAGTACGACTGGAGCCCTGGGGAAAGACCGTGAATAGCGAACATGTGAACAGGCGGATAGAGAGGAGTCTCTGAAACTTCGCTATAGGGGTAGACGATCAAGACCTCCAAGTTGGGTTAGGGGTGTTGTTGGTGGACGTGGGGACTTCCTCGTCATGTTCGTTGTCTATCAACCAATTGGGATGCTTTAGACGTAGACGTAGACCAAAGACTTTTATGACTTCAAAGGCATCATGCGTATTGAATCTGTTTGATGAACAGTTCCAGTACAGACGAGTCTCTGCAAGTCCTTCAAGATCCTTCAAGGGAAGCACCAGTTCAGTAAGAAATGAGTGGAGCCGCTCGCTGTCACCGAGTGTAATTAGTCATTGTAGTAGATGGACATTGATGCAAGTGTCAGATCGGATTCTGATGCAGGTTGTAGGGTACTGAGTAGATCTGAGTAGTATGGTATGGCTTTTTGGACTGAGAAGTCTTTGTTGGCCAATCGAAGGAAGGATCCTCGGAAAAGCGTCCCAATGTAGCACAGAGATCGGTGGATGGAGTGGAAACGGCGCTCACGAGGGGAGTGTGTGCGCTGATGCTCCTATTCGATAGTAAATGGAAGGTGTGAGACGCTTAGGGAGACCGAACCACAGGCGTTCCGACCGTGTTCGAAGAGAAATATAGACTGGCGTCTACCCAGCCAGGGGCGAGAGGACTTGGGGGTCTCCCTATTAAGATCAACACCCAAATTCACCAAGCTTACAGTCATATAGGTACTGTACAATCGTCTGTACTATACCCAAACAGTTGATGGGACTGTCATATGTACCGATCAGGCCAGGGGTGGCTTCAGGGGGTCAATGAGGGCATATGCCAGTCCCAGGTCGTGAACCGATATGAGCCTACCAACAGAGCTTGAAGAACCCGAACTAGGCCCAATTTCGGCTATCCCAGGCCAGGGTACCCCAGGTTTACCGGGTCCGGTCCCCTTCACTGTCCACCTCTGTTGGATGAGCCGGAGCGGAGGCTTGCCGGTGAAGACGTGATTGGATCAACGTCCATCCATTACGTCGTACAACAGCCAGGAGGGCATTGGAACACCGTGGGACCCGTGGGATCGCTGATGAGCAGCAATCTGAACGTACCAAGCACGTGAAGAATATACGGACTTTGGCTGGTTGGTTTGAATTGGTGATAGTACACAGTACCTCATCCCCCCAAAAAGGACGGGAATTTCACGCATCTCGAAGCGAAACGTTTGTTGGAAGAGCCGCACCAAGCGAAGACGCAGGGTCGAAGATGGAGGAGAATGCTGCGGAGGACGCACCAAGGAGTGCTGGGCATGGGGGTGCAGCGGGCGCAGCAATGGGTGTGGTTGGTGAATTGAACTCTAGAATGGCTATTTAGTTTTTCATGGGGCCGACCGATTCAGATTCGTTTAGGCAATTTCTTAGTCTCATCTCGCCTTGCGATCCGAGGTGGACCAGCCTCGCACGCTTCTGAAGGTCTGAAAAGCAGCCTCGCACGAAGTGAAACACCCAGCTGTTCAAATCTCGATCCACTGAAGTGACGCACATCGTCGTAGCCAGGAAGTTTCACCTACTAAGTCGTCAAGGGTGTTCGATGACGTGGGGGTTTATCACGGACACCGAACCCGGGACCCATGAGGGATGTATGGAATTGCGACTTTTAGAGTGACATCTCAGGGAGACTCGGACTCGTATCTTCCAATGTCCGTGAGACATGGCGCAGGTCTCAGTTACCAAGTCAAGCCTTACATACCTCGTCATACCTCCATTTCAGCTGCAAGATCATAGCTTGAACATCTATAAACCATCCAACACGTACATCAATCAATTCAACAAGGGGACGCATGGACACTGCAAAAATGTGCTATCCAATATGTGTTGTATGAAAATTCCCAAAGCCCCCCTGGAAGAAGGGGCATAGACCAGTCTACCCCTGGGTTGGGGGTCTCTCTATTTCATTTCAATACCTCAGGAGCACCGCCGCCCCGGCGTCAGCCGGTGCAACCCTTGACGCTGGTGCCGACGGCGAAGACCGTGCGCGACACCACAACAGCTCGACCTTGACCGTCAGCGGCACGATCCGGCAGTTGGTGCACGTGTGCGCGGAGCACAAGAAGCCGGGGGTGCCTAGTTTTTCGGACGGTGACGGGGTGTGATGACTTAGAGCCAGTCTGATGGTGCGTGTGGGTTCCAAGGAAGATTTTGTTGTGACTACCAGGACCCTCCGTTCGAGTATAGCCTCTTAGAGGTTAGGAGGTGTTCAAAAACCACCAGGCTTGGAAGGTGCTGGTATAGAATAATATATGATTTAAAGAAGTAACCTTTGCAAGAGTTCCCACCTATGGCCGACATGGGGCAGCGATTGAAGCAGGACGGTGGCGTCATATCCTTTGGAAGTGCATCCGTAACTTGTGGGCGGCGGCTGCGAAGCTTTCACTGGCAATCCCTCACATATAGACAGGATAAGGCTTGGGTGTATGAGCTGACAAGATGGTAGCAGCTGTAGCTCTGCCGAGCTGTCCCAAGTCTTCGCACGCTGCGGCAAGCAGTGAAACCAAAATCAATACACCTCCAATCACCTCCATGATGTATTGATTCAGACAGGTGGTGATTAGAGTGTTTGGTCTGGAGGGTCTGGAGTGGAGGGTCCTGATGTTTTTCTTTCCGCACATTTTCCCAGTTTTCGGTCTTCACCAGACCCTCCAGACGATTTGAGCTCGGTCACCCCTTTTTTTCGACCGACCGACACCGGGGCGAACTTGGGACGTCCCGTCGACCGCGACGGCGTAGGTCGTAACTGGGGACGTGGGGGGGGATGTACTCCCTCCGTGCTCAGGAACCGCAAGTTGGTGCGTTTCCTGGACCAAATCCGACACGAGGCGCAGCGGGGCGCGACCACGGCGGGCCGGCCCATGGGACCGGCGGGTAGGCGCCACCTTGCCATCCTGGATCGATATAACATTGTATATGTCACATTATGTCACACAGTCCATGCATGTCCATGCTAAACCTTCAGCGAATCTTGACTAAGTTGACGCAAGTTGACGCAAGCCAGCAGTGTCATGAAGGAGTGGGTTCCCGACGAGCATGCCTTTCTTCAGGGAGGTGCGCTTGGGGAGTGCTTAAACACTATCCCCTTCATCGAAACGGAGGTGGGCCAGGAGCCCGTTTAAGGGACAGTTGTTCTCATCCAGCGTTATTTTGATTTCTTCTTCGAGTTAGTGAGCACCTTCACCTGGCAGCATGACGATGAGGTGTGTGACATGCCCAGCGAGAGCCGAAACCTGAGAATTCCACGTGCTTGGTTCTTCTTGTATACAAAGGCACCCGTGTACGAAGTCGTCCTATGCAGGGTCCATGAAGCCTTTCTTACCCTATGGATCCACATACTGCAATCACCTTCTCCGAAGGTATGTGGATCCATAGGGTTACATAATGGACAACATGTTGCGGGCTGTTGATTACTAAGACTCACCCCCTTACCTGAATGGTAAAGCATCTCCATCCCCACAAGTCAGTTTGACCTCATTTTACTGGACCTGGTCATAGAAAAACACTATTTACTTAATTAAAGAGGTAAAAGACCAGGTGTCACTGAGTCTTTATAAGCTTGTAGGGCATAATCATTCCACATGCTGGCTGCCAGACCAGTCACTCGAGTCTACAGTCTACATCAATCCATCTCAGGAGAAAGAGGAAGGGGTCCGTGTGCCCAGTCTGGGTGGCGGAAAGGAGCTGACCTTGTCGTACGTTGGCAGGAATGTTAACTGATCAATAAGAAAGTGCTGGTAGCATTTTCGTCGGACAACCTTCCGCGGAGATTCAATTAAGCTTTTGTAGACCTATGAATATATATATATTGCTTTGGGACACAAGAAGTTTGGGCCATGAGCCGTTGATAGCCATTGGATGTCTTTTCTTTCAGGATCTTTCAGGCCTTATGTGGGTGGGTGGACCCTCACCACTCCGAACATCGCCGAAGCCTGCCATATGTGAGTCATTGCTTTTGGTTGCAGCGTGCAACAGTTGATTGGAGTTTGTGACCTGCAGTGTCTATGACATTGTTACTGTTATAACCTGTTATAACCCATCCAACCTCAGTTTGATCTTGTTCACACAATGTGAGTGTACATGTCCTATACTCCACTAGGATCCAGTAGCAGCCATGATGCAAAAGTAAAAGAATTCCTATCGTGCGAATGGTGTGATCCCCGCATCAAGAACTTACCTGTAGGTTGAATCTTGACAACCTCAATGGAAAAACAAATCACACTGGCACCATCAAGTGTCACACATTTGTCCACAGAATTCCTTGTTTCTTTCAGAATTCAGCACCGATCCTCCGATTGTTTGAGCATGGGGCACGTCTCTTCAGCTCGGTCCTCCTCAAGCTTGGCATGGATTTGGGTGTCGCCATGATTTCGCCCGGCACATCAATCTATGAAACCACCCCCCTCCCCTTTGTGGAGATGGACCGGTTGATCGCCAATGTATCCTACACCACTTTCGTTTCGTCCGTGTTTACCAAAGGCGATTGCACCCACAACGCACTGCAAACCAAAAGCACACAAAACGACCCAGATTCCGTCTCGTTCATCAGGTCCGACAACGAGCTTTGGTGATCATCTTTTGCATCTTGGCCAGTATAGCGAGTGGAGACAGACTTGATTTTGCTTGGTTGTTGCTAGGCATCGGCTAGGCAATACATATATTTGGTGATACAAACATACGTGTTTCAAGAACATGTCTTTGCATGTCTTTGCAACATTCATGAGATTCAGGCAAAAAAGATACAATTTCAGCCCCATGCTTTTCTGGAACTCAAAGCCTCTCCATGGCCCTGCCAAACAATCACCCGAGAGCCGTGCACGACCCTTTCCCAGACACCCGGTGTCCCTCTGTCCCTTTCTGTTTTTGCGCGGAGGCAACAAGATTCAAAAGTTGAAGACGGTGGCCAGCTTTTTGCGTCGGGGCTCGCAGGATCAGCCTCCGACTCGACGGGCGCGAGTCGACTCAACCGGTCGATTGGAGATGCCTCTCGTTGCTTCGGTGGTTTCTCGGTGGTTCTTCGCTTTGGACGGGTTTTCCCTGAGCATCGAATCTAAGTGGTTGATTGATTTTGATTTGATTGAACATATTGATTTGATTGATTTTATGTTTTCTATTTTTATAAGCTCAAACATGGAGAAAAATAATCAGATTCTATATTGATTTTCTGTTTGATGTTTGCCTTGAAACTTTTGTTCCCAAATATTGAGTTTTGGGGGTGCATGCTGCTCTGGGGGTGAAACTCGAAGAGGAGGAAACTTCAGTGACTTAAGCTTCATGTCCCAGAGAAACTGACGGAGCCAGTCACTAAGAAGAATAGTTTAGGGTTGCTTGAAGGGTTTGTGCGTTCATTGGAAATCCTGCAGGAAAAGTCAGGAAGCGTGTTTTGATGATTCTTCTCCCCAAACACTAAGAGATAGCTTACAATTACCGGCTTGTTCGGAGCAAACCTCCATGATGGCGGGTGGTCAATTCGTATGTTTGTGTTTTACGTTTCAGGGGCTGGACGTAGTTCTTGAAACACAGAAGACACTTCAGAAGTGCTCCCAGCATTTCAAGGAACCACACCACCAAAATGCTCGTGTCCTTCGTTTTCCTGGCCGTGGGTCAGGGCCCTTGGGGACCGAACAGAATCGATGACATGGTCAACGTACCCTGGTGACCGGGGCTCCGCGTGCCATGGCCCACAGCCATATCTAGTCCTTTAGTAGGGCCCTGTGTTTTCATGTTCTGACCGCAAGCTGCGCAGGGCTGGGGTCCACCTGGATGCCTGCACCTGTCGGCGGGGCGGGCTGGACTGAGGTGCGGAGGAAGTGGAAGAGACGACCAGGAGGGTGAAACGACAAGCATCAGTGACTTGCAGCCATGTCGACGCCATGTTGACTTGCTGATCAAAGAGGGAGCACTCCAGAATGCTGACTGGGAGGCCAACAACCATTGCTTATCATTGTCTTTACTAAATTGACCCAATTGTTTTACTAGGGGCTTTAAACGACAATCCAGATCAATGATTCGCTTGATGGTGTTTGAAGCAGTTTGGGAATGTGATACCCTCTTTGAAGCCTAGGGTGGTCACTTTCACCTGTTTCGGGACTGACTCGCTACGTCACTCGCTGGGCCACAGACCCGTAGATCATTCGCCCAAGGAATCACTGTCGCTTGGCGTTTCGTGGGTTCTGGGACGGGTAGACACCCCTTCTCACCAAACTCAGAGTTCAAATCCCTAGATTTCTCTTATAGGTCACGGTCACATCCAACATGAGTGAAACATTTGTGATACCGATCAGTTTCCGTTAGGTACCTCGTGCTTCCAAGAGTTGTGGACGGAGACCTACCAATCTAGTGTGGGGCTGTCCATTTTTCGACCCTGTAACGAAGCAGCTGGTATCAATTCAAGATTCTTGAACGATTGAAAAGCTCATAGAGGCTCGCTGAGATCACCACATTCAGCTCTTTTGCTTAGTGGTGAATAGCCAGAGCCAAGTGTATGGAATATTCATACCCTGGGGATCCAAGTGCCTTCTCAGAAGGTGATTGGACCTTCCAAACCGACACAGCAGTGTCTCCAATCACCTTCTAAGAAGGTACAGGGATCCCTAGAGAGATACAAAGGATTGTTAACACCTGCTTTGAAGTCAGTGAAACTATCAGGTGTTTCGGTGCTTTCAAAGGACAGATCTTTTTTCAACTAGATTCCAGATGAATTCCGCTTCGACTGGATGGCTCTGGTACGTGTTCCTCTGCTTCAAACCATCTAGATACAATCCACAAAACACAATAGTCCCAAACTAGTCCACGCCGCCCCCGATAGACCAACCCCTCTTCTATACTCTTTGGAGAACCGGAAGAACCTGCGCTGCTCCCAGCGACCGAGGTACGTGTCACGCCGCCCCCGATAGACCAACCCCTCTTCTACTCCCTGGAGAACCGGAAGAACCTGCGCTGCTCCCGGCGACCGAGGTACGTGTCGACGCTCTGCCAGCGCTCCGAGCACCGACAAGTTGGAGGACGTGGAGATACTTGCTTGACGCGACCGATGCGGCTGGCAGACTGGAATGCAACCACTGCAGCTGTAACCGCGTGTTTGGGAATGCCAATCATGACAAAGGGATTTCACTGGTGTGGATCCAGTGGCAGGTTTGCTGGTGTTCCCAAACCATATGGAGTCCGGCCAAAAGGGCGGCCAAAAGTCTAGAAACTGTAATCTAAAAAATACATAAACGGGTCGAAAGTAGCTTGTGATGTTGTTTTTCAATAATGTAGCGGGCACACACCTATTCTGCAGCTGGGCGCTAGGTTTGCGGTAGTAGACTTGCGCTAGTGTTTGACTTATAGGACATGTTCAGAAGGTCGTCAGGTTTTGAAAAGTAGCTGCAAAAAAATGCGCTAGCCGCGCGCTAGCACTGCGTGCGCTAGATCCGCGCTAGCAAACATTGCCAGATGCCAACATGGACCCTTGCAAAGCTGACTTCCACCAAGTCTTTTGTTTCAAGCATGGCTTGAAATTCGGAGATCAGCTGAAAATGGTGCAGCGCTAGTGACACCTCTTACAATTTGGTGCCAACTTCATTAACCAGCTGTGTGTGTGTGCGTCAAAAGTAAAGAATATGTAGCGGGCCCCATGTGAACACGAGTTTCTTCTATTTTGAAAGAAGACATTTCGACCAGATACCATATAGACATGACAAAACACAGAAACCACGCCTCCTTTTTGATCCCAAAGGGATCGCCTACCTTCTCAGGGGTTGTTCCAAAACCCATTGCGTAAGGACAGTCTCTGAAGAGGACATGAAAGAACGACAGAACATATCTTTGCGTGCTTTTCTTACCTGGTAGGCGCAAGGGCGAGCGCAAGAGCCTTTCAACATAACTAACACCTTGCAACCAATGGACCAAGGTCTACAACACTTCCGCCGCGTCTTTTGGGCGGCAGTGGCATGGCACAGCCGCTGGGACGGTCAGCATCGCTTGGTGGCTGTAGGGCACCCCCTCTATCCGTAAATGATTCAACCGCTTTGAGGACTGTCCCCAGCTCGTAAGAAGTTGGTAGGATTGTCCGTGGAAGTTGCTTCAAAAAGCTCCCAAATCAGTATTGGGCGAGCCTTCTGGAGGTGAAGCCCAGCTAAAGAGTTCCTCATGGTCCGTTCGTAAGGGTAATGCTTCTGAAGCGTTTTTCGTCGATGGCTTCCCCAAAGCACGTACGCTGTCTGACTCTGGCAGGAGGACTTCCTGGGACCCGAGATGTAGACGTGGAGAATTGAAACGGTCCTAGTAGTTTGGAAGACCTTGACCTGATGTTACTGTTGGGTGACAACGTACGTGTCAACGTCTACGTGTTCTGCGCCTTGTTGCGAGTGGCGTCCGGCCTCCGCTGCAACGGTAGGAATGGAATGTGTTTTTTGTTTATTAATGTTTGGCGTGTCGCTACCCTAAAAGAGGTTTTTGTGCTCAAACATGTCCAAGCGCACTGCATCTGGACCTTTGGCCAATCATTAAAGATACAAAGGCCATGGTGTGATTTGATCTTGGAACACGTAAGGCCTGTAACTCAGAAGAAGCCTGTCCACTTAATGTAAGGCAAGGCTTGATTTTAAGCCTGAGGTTCAAATTCACAAACGATAGCGGGTCGTTGTTTTCTCCTTCGTGCCCAGGTCCTTTGATGTGGAACAGAATGAGCATCCAGTGGGGTGGCTGGTGGAGGCATGGAAGGAGAGCAAACTGGCCCCAATGTATTTGTGGTTGAACTCTTTGGTGGGGGACGGGCATGCGTTCTCACCTGACATCAAGACCCTGGCGCCAGTTTCCTGACTATATGTTGGTTGAGTCTTTAGAGCTTCAGAAATGAGGAGTTCTGTCCTTTGCCCACCCACTCAGGATCCCACATCATGCGACGCAATCTCAGTGCCGCTTCTCTCCCTGGCACTGAGCACGCCGGTGGAAGGCTTCTC